GTTATAAGTATATATCATTGCCTAAATGTGCAAAGAAAGGAAAAAATTGTTGATTATGTGTGTGGTATGTGTTTGGTTTAGGTTTGGTTTAGGGTTTGTTATTGATAGGTTGTGTGATTTCTTTTATTTTTATTTTTAAAAATTATTATTATTATTATATATTAAATATAATAAATATATATAATTTCAATTGTACAAGTATAGATAACATGTTAATTAAATTAAATGATTAAATAAATTAAATAAACAGTTCTAAACCTTTATACTTGTTACTTAACTTAATACTTACACATATATTATTTTCATATCTATTACGTACCTAAATTTTTTACAGCTCAAGTAGGATACTTACCCAAATAGGTAAAGTACTTGTAAGTAACAAATATACCATACATAATGCTTACCCCTAAATCTACCAGTATCCGAAACCCAAATTAAATTTTGATTAATTTAAAATCAAACCACGTCAAATCTATAAGGGAAGGCTCTTTTAGTGCATATTTCCCCATTCACAAGTCTTTAACTCGAGATATTGAACGTTTAAACCCTGATTTTTCAGGGAATTAATACTTATTGTATCGTTTAAAACCAAGACATTGGCATTTCAGTTAATTACATCCCAACTTCTTTGTTTATTCTTTGATAAATATGTTCCTATTGCATCTGCCTTCCAATAGTCCAGTTCTGAAATTTTCTGCGAACTCGGCGTTGCAGTTGCAATGCCTTTATGCATCTTGTGTGACAAAGGATAGACGAACATGCCTTCAAATAAATACTGTTGAACAAACTCTGTGGATATGCCGCACCAGCAACCGTTCGTTGTGCTGTTAATCTTTCTTCTTTGTCCAAACCATGACAAGAGTGAAGCCCATCAAAGACATGAGTACAGTCTGCAAGGTGCCGAAAACCATGGAGATTCCTTAAAATTCTCGAATGACATGTTAAAGGTCAATTATTAGAAAGGCAATAATATAGTTTACTAGGGACTGAAACAGGAAAACAGTCACATGTTTCTTCTTAATTTGCTTGGTCCAGGGGAAATAAGAAACAATCAATAGAGAGATGATACCGACCGAGATGGCTGGAGGAATGCCTACTAGTGGATCTTGGAAAAACCTATTAGCAAGTGCAAGGGCAAGGAGACTGCTT